CCGGATCCGCGTCTCTCCGCGGCCGCGGGGACGGGCGGGACCCGCTCCACCCCCCGCGGAGCGCCCCCACCGCCGAACCGGGAAAAGGGCGTCCGGAGAGCGCGCGTTGGCCGCGGCGGGGAGAGGGCCCCGCGGAGCGCTCCGCAGCGCCCCGGTTAAGGACACGCGTCTTTATTTTACTGTTTCCCAACTGGAGCCTCATCTGAATCCAACTATTTTTTAGATGAAATCTTCAAACAGAACTGAGCACTCTTTGTTCGTGTTCTCTCTCTCTCGCTCGCTATTGTTGAAGCAGTAACCGAAACGGAGAATTACAGCATGGGAACATTAGACGCGCCTGTCGCCCGCCATAAGGACAGTAATTCTGTCACTTACCTCATTTCCCATAACAACGGATGTTATTGGCTTAGGGAATGTGTGAACACTCAGCTAAATCCTGAAGACCTTTGCATGCACGCATATACGTACATATATTCCTATGTATTATTCACTCTTTACTCAAGCAAACTTCTGCTGCACTCCTTGTGAGTTTGCTTCAGTGAGAAACGTGGGATTTGCCTCTTTCTAACAGGACAAAATGAGTTCTCAGTGAAGCTCCTCCTGACGCCCCCCGATTTTCTGCTGTCGCACACTGCCCTGTCGGGCAGAGCTGGTCCCTCGGCTGGGCGGCGATCAGCCCAGCGCGGGGCTGCCCGGCGTTTGTGAGCCCCACCACGCTCGCTTGCTCAAGCTGTGCTTTGCAACGTGCCTGGCAGTCTGGTGGAAATCTTCAAGCCAACTTCTATCCTCTCCGTACCAATGGTTATTGCTTTCCAGCCTGCCTGGAAAGAAAGATCTAACACATACGTGTTAACTTCCCACAGAGTGAGGATGCGAACCCTTTGCACAGCCCGTGCCTCGGTCAATGAGATGGAGACAGAGTCACATCTGCTCCTCTTAGTCCCCATGTGCCACGTACGTACTTTTGTAGAATCACAGAGTCATAGAATGGTTTAGGTTGGAAAGGACCTTGAAGATCATCGAGTTCCAACCTCCCCTGCCATACACAGGGACACCTCCCACCAGCCCAGGTTGCCCAAGGCCACGTCCAGCCTGACCTCGAACACCTCCAGGGATGGGGCCTCAACAACCTCTCTGGGCAACCTGTGCCAGTGCCTTACAACCCTCAAAGTGAAAAACTTCTTCCTAATGTTTAATCTAAACCTGCCCTCTTCCAGGTTAAAGCCATTCCCCTTCGTCTTATCACTATGTGCCCCAGTAAAAACAATAACCTGAACGATCCCGTCATCCTCACAGGGAGATTTGCCAAAACCAGATCCTTCACTGGGAAGAGAAACCCGAATCACCCGCCTGCATGTGAGAGCAGTAACAGCTGAGGGGGCGCCCGGCGTGGAGAGGGCAATCGCCTTCCCAACAAGAAGTGTTTGCACATGAAGCTATAGCGCATACGGATCTGCTACAAACCATGGGCAAGACTACGAGCTGCTGAGCAATGTCAGCAAAATTCCCTGGCTCACAAGCTCAGGAAATAAGACAAACATAAACACTCTGCGTGCGATTCACAGCTGGGGTCTACCAGGGAGGCTCCCCCGATTCCCACAGCCGGTTTATTCGGCGACAGCAGCCTCTCATCCCTGACATCCACACGTCCTACGCACACACAGGGTTAAATCCCTCTTACAAATCTTCGGCATCCAAGTTTGCCTCAAACACAAGCCCTAGACCAAGTCAAATGGGAACTTGGTAATTAAGCGTCTGCTGTGCAAGTCAGGGGCTCCTGAACGTGTGGCAAAGCAGAGAAAATTCCACTCCGAGAGTATTTTATTACTAATCTAGTAATATATAACTTAAGACTTACATCCGACCGACAAATCTGGAGTCACTTCACTATGGCACTGCCATTTGCAAAGGTTTTACAGGTCACAGTAACAGGGTCCTTGAAATGTATTTGTGTAGATTTAAGCACACAAACCCTGAAACTACCACAAAGGGAATAAACACACAGCAAGTGAAGCAGGAGAGCAGTAACAGAAGCAGCCTACCTACCTAAAGGCCAGTGAAACCGGCCCTGGACTTTCTGTTACCTCACTATGCACTGGAGTGCATAAACTAGCTGGAAAGGCACATTATTAGTGTTAAGGGCTCTTTCTGGAGCAGACTCACAATTGTACCGGTTTTATCACCTTTAATGGCTGGACGTGGCGTGCAGGGATAGCCAGCTCCGTCACAACTGCCTGCACTAGTGCTTCGTAAAAAGCAGTCCCTCTGAGTCCTCATATGAAAAGGGGAAAATACTGGATGACAAACCCCATTTCTATTAGTTAAACCTTTAATTTGGCAGCTGCAGCGTCTGTGCAGGCTGCCCCATGGGTGCCCAATTAGTAGAGCCCATTAGGAGTTGGGGCTCTGCGTCCTCATCCCGGTTCTGCCATGAACCCCGTTCACCTTCTGTGGCCTCAGGCAGATTTACTCCCATGTGCTCCTTATTCCTCTGTCTTTTTTTACTCACCTACCAAATATGCCAAGTTTCATCTGACTGGCCTATCAAGAGGCCTAATTACTGGCAAAGCTTTTGGAGAGCCTTCAGTACAAGGACGGTTTAAACTGAATTACACTTAAACACAAAATCATTATCCTAGAGAATACGGTAAACTAAAAAACAACTGTATTTGTATTAGAGGCAATGGACTATGAGGATCAAATTTGCTCTTGCTCATAACCACAGAAGGACTCTCGAGGTGTTGGTGTAGTCTATAGCTACACCGGAATAAGCACAGAATATAGCCCGGTTTGCAACTCGCTAACTGCGCTTTGTGTGTGTTTATTGCAGCAGAAGCTTCAATATTTGACTAAACCCTTATTACTACTTTTGGCAGAAACCCTAAAAGTCTACATTGTTTGAGAGCACAGACACTTTGGCAACACAATCACTACATTTTGACACATCCAATAGAAAAGGGAATTTTTATAATCGGGATCAAACTCCATGGGGAAAAAAAAAGAATAAAAGAAAAGAAAAAGCCCCCAGAATGTAAATATTTGATATGATGGGAATTCCTAGGGATTTTGTCTTACTTAACTGTACACAAGACTCCAAGCTGGATGCATCCTCAAACCAAAAGCTATTGGCTTGTGTCCAAATTTTGTGGCTGCTTTTCTCTCTCAAATACTCCAGCCCAGCCCCACCAGATCCAAACATCCTTTCAAGCTGGAAAAGTTCAATTCCAGACCTAAAATCTGTACTTAGGGCACATCTCTATTCCAAGAGCAGCATAAAGTGGCTGTCACTCGTATGTCACACTGTTACTCAGCCCCTGGGGAAGCCCATCAGGACAGCTCCTCTCTCCGTCTTGAGAGAGACACAAATTAACTGCTTTATAGAGTTCTTGGGCAGGAGGAAGGAATTATTCACAATTCATCTTCAAGACAAAAATACTCATTCATAGGAAAATCTAAAAAAAAAATCGCCAATCTCTTCCACTCGCTCATTATCCCGCCTGTCTGTATCGATTAACCACAAGCGTTTTCAGAGAGCTCCTCAGAACAGCAGCTAGACAAAACAGTATCTTTTTCCAGCTTTCCGGTGCGTGCTGCATCCAAAGCCCTGGCCCACGGTCTCCCAGCGATGGGGCTGCGCAAGCACTCAGGCAACCGGGAACGCCAGTAACCGGGAACGGCGGCCGATCACCGGGATTGGCAGAAACGGCATCAAGCCTTGAGACAACGGCAGCAGCAAATACTGACCAACTCTTCCATACACTTACTTGTACAAGGGACTTTCAGAAAAATCAGACCCACAGCATCAAATGGTAGAAAGGCAGAACTGGAAATTTTCCGCCAAGTAAATTTTGGGTAACATTAAGATTCCTAGGCAATGGCCAACCCTGAAAATGAGAGCCAGCCGGTGGGGCTGTGCTGCATAACTGCCATACGCTCCAGATTCAGACCCACTTCTCACTTTTAAAGGAAATAAATACCAACCAGGACAGAAAAACTGTAATATGCCTTGTTGGAAACAAATCTTGTTTGTGTTCCTCCAAGCAGATTGACTTTGGAAAAAAGCAAAGTTGAGTCACACATCTGTTTCTTTACAAATGGAGGTGAAAATGCACACATTACAGTTTGCACCAAATTAGTTACTGTAGATCAACTCTTCTCCAGAGCTAGATTGCTTAATCTGTTACATGTTATTGCCTCCTATGACCAGAATTTATTATTCCCATTTATAATTCTAATGTTTCGGTTAGTCACCCATTCACAGGGATAAGATCAGTGCCTGAAGTCATGGAGCATTACACATTTCTTTATTTAGAGATGACATAAAGCCTTTGATATTTTCTGAGGAATGTTCAGGCTGGAACGAAATGGACGATAAGAAACATATCAATATATTCTGCATAAGCGAATTATAGTTTTCCACACAGACTTCATTAACAGAGCAAAATAGTGTTTCTTTAGCATTTTTCTCTCCTGAGAGCACACAGAATGGATTTTGGGTTAGCCACTAAAGGAATAAGCATTCTTTTAAAAGCAAAGATGATGTTTGTATTTAGCAAATCAATTTTTCTTGCATTTGTGCAGAGATTAAGTTAGTGGTGCTTTTAATTCACTCAGAATAAGGCATTCCCAAGAGAACAATTCTGTGGGAAGAGATACATTTTACATTATAATATTATAAAGTTATAAAACTTAGATATAACCCACTGGGGGTAGAAAACTGTCTCACAGCAGAACTTTTCATTTTGTGTATTGGCAAACTGAACCCAGTTCAGGACAGGACTTAAGCACATGCTTAAGTCTAATTGGTTTCAGTGAAACTTAAGCATGTGCTTGAAATTAAGCCAGTGCATGAGCATTTTTCCTGATTAGTAATGCCTCCCTGAATTGAAGCCAGAATGTGGTCAAGTGGTTGAGGGAAGATGCCAGCGCTTTCACTGGAGTACTGTCTGGCTTCTGGAAAAGTATTTCTATTATTCAACCCTTCTCTTATTTGTGTGTAAAATGGGTGTAATTGCATGTAGCTGTTTCACCAGTCTGATGCTCAGTTCATGCCATTTGTAAAATGTTTTGAATTCACTAGATGTTTCTCAGTTATTCTTTTAAGGATGGCACAATAAATGTATTACGTTAGCTATCACTGTAGAGCATCACCTCGAGTTTCCTGCGCGTAACACAGCATAAGCATATATGAAATTCTGCAGGTCCTAAGAGGGAACTCAGCTAACTCAAAATTCCCAAGCAGCTCAGGATTTCAGAGAAATTTTCAAAACATGGTTTCACCACATACTTTCAACACATTGGCAAACAGGTTCAGACACCATAATCCATACCTTTAGCTTTATCCTGAGGCTGTGATCATTGCATAATTTGTCTCACGTCCACAACTAAAATAGCGAAGCACTTGTGGTGAGCTGAATGCACGTTTTTAAGGCCTGTGGAATCATGGAATCATTTATTTCTCCTGTAAGTGTCATAGATGACAAGACAGATGGGATTTATGGTAGGGAAGGGGAGAAGGGAGAAGGTATTCTTTCCTGCACCCCAAAGATCTTCTTCAGTATAAAATACATTTAAATAAAATGGCTTCTTAAAATTGCCCTCTCTGGCCATTTACCTTGAAATAGAAGACCAGGCCAAACACTGTCAATGGGATTGCAGGGCTTGATGCCAGTTTCATTGGCGTCCGTAAACAGGACAGATCCCACAACTGTACCAACACCGCATCAGCACCTTTTCCAGGAAATGCCCGTCCCCATAAACCGACAGCTAACACTCCGCCTGGAGAACGAAGGGACACAACGCAGAAATGGGACACGGGATACTCTCAAACGGGGTGAACTAAGCAAGACGTGTAGGAGTTCGCACCAAGGACTTCGGCGGTGTGATGAGAAAGAAGAGCGCCGCTGGTGGATGTGAGTACATCTTCCCAAGAGATCTCCTACAGTTACTGTTAACCAAAACGCCATTTCACAGCGTTTCTTCCTCCCATCTCCCAGAAGATATCGCGCAGACTCAGAAAGAGGAGTCCAACATTTTTTCCACAGCTACATTGGTCAACGTCAAAAGACTTCCCGGAGAACAGCAACTCCATACCGCCCGACGGCCCCCGTTGGCCCAAGCGCAGTGGTCAGCCCCGCGTCGCCCGGCCCTTCGCGCAGAGCCCCGTCCCGCTGCCAGCCCCGCGCCGCGCAGCCCCGCCGGCGCCCAGGAGGGCGGACAGGAGCGCCAAGACGCGGCTCCTGCTGCGAGCCAACACCGGAGAGATCACGGGGCTGCCCGCACCAACTCACGACCTCCACACACATCTGCAGGACGGTCTGGAGGAAGAGGGGTGGTTCATCAGGACAGGTAGGAACTAATGGGATAATTGCTACGCGCCTTATTTTTCGGCATCGGCAAGCACTGAAAAAGCCAAATGGGTTCAGGCTGCACTAACATACGGTGACTTGTGTTAAACCCTGATCAGTATTGCTGCAGAAGTTTGGCACAGGGAAACAGATAACCAAAAAGCAAAGGAAACTAAAGGAAAGAAGGGCAATGCTAGAGCTTTCTTCCTTAAACACTGGTAAAAGTTTAAATTTTAATTTGGTGAGACAGGTGAGACCACAGTGAGACCATCTCTAATCCCCTGGGTACCCAGAGAGTGAGAAATTGGTGAGAACACATTGGGGGAAGCATTTATTTTCAAAAATGAAAGCAAACCAACTCAGACCAAGGCTGAACAGTACCCTGGGGGTACAACCGTGACTCAGATAAATTCTAACTGGAATTCAGTTCTTACCAAATGGGAAATATTGCCTCTATCTTCCTCAATTTAGATGAGATGGAAACCCATTAGAAAATACAGAACATGGTTTTGAAATTAATGGCACACCGTCATTTCCAATGCATAGAGCACCCATGGAGTTTTGGCAATTCCTTGAACGCCTGCACAGACACTTTATTAGTGGCTATCGTGGCCATTTTTAATAGTGATGGCTAAGCATATTTTTTCCTGGAGCGCTTTGAAGAGCGGAACCAGTAATCAGGCCATGGCTTGGCTATAAAACGCCAACCTCATTTCGAACGTCTGAATCTCTCGCACGGACCATGAGCGCAGAGAGGACCACCCACCACATCACATTAACATAAATATAGCGTTTACCCAAAGCAAAATGAGCAACTGGAACTGGCAGGAGTGGAGAGCAGAACAACAAAAAATGATTAGGGGGTGGGAGGGATTGAGTTGCGAAGCAAGATTAGAAGAGCACGTAGCCTGGCTGAGGGACGGGTGGGCGAGATAGACATGATAACAGCCTATAAATATTCACAAAGCATAAACACCAAGGAAGGGAAGGAATTCCTCGCAGTGAATAAAGAGGTTCTGTTGGGAGTGAATGAAGAGAGGAAAAAATGCAGCTTGTATATCAGGGTGAACTTCTTGAGGCACAATCTAGTAGGCAGCGTAAGTCGACTTGCTTGGCAGGATTTTGAGGGACTGAACAAAGCACTGGTCCAGCAGGGAATAACCCGCTCCTGGCAGGAGTCGGCGCGATACTCTGAGTGGCCTTTCAGCCTCCCGCTGCCGCGGAGCCATCCCTGCTCCCACGGGAGACTGCTCTCCTGCGTAACCACATTGTTCGCCCATCGAAATCGCTGCCGGGCCCCCATGGGACTGGAAACAGGGGCTGGATGCACAAAGGTGGTTAGGTGCATAAAGAGAGAGGCGGCTGCAATAGGTACTGAAGTGCTGGACACAGCTGGGAATCCCAGCAGGTCCCCGCGATGTCGAGTACTCACCGCTGAAAATCTAAGTCCAGGAAATTAGATTATAAACCCACCAAAGCAAGAACGATCCTTTTGTTCTCTACTTATTTAGCACCTAACACAACAGGATTCTTGGCGCTGCTGCAAGGATACTGTTTATAGTAATAAAAATAGGATCTAATAGGATCTAATAGTCCGAGGCTGCGGCTCCTGCGAAGCCGGGGATGAGAAGGGCATTCAAAAGTAGTCACGGCTGAAGGTATCCTCAGAAAAAAGCTCTGCAGAAAGGTGGTAAACTGATACATAGCCCACACCAGAAATAAGCACACGTTTAACTTAGAATCACAAGTGACCACAGAAAAAGGTTACTTGTTCAGCTGAAGCACAGAATTAAAGTTACTTCTAACATGTGTTTTGGGGTCTGGGTGTGGTTTCTAGATAGCTTGAAATTTCAGTCTCCTGTTTTGCCTGTCAACATTAGCCAAGTTTTGATGTGTTCCAGTTCTCTTAAATGCTGCCGACAGATGCTAAAATCAAAGTTGACATTCAACCTACGCGCTGCGTAATCTAATAACGGGACTCGTGCTACTCAAAACTAACAAAACTTAAGAGCTTTTTTTCAGCAAAACTTTGCTGTCATTTGTATTTTCATCCACCTTTTCCAGGGCGTCTAACTCAGAAAAATGATTTTTTTCTCTGGGAAGCTTTAAAAAGAAAGCGTCATTGTGGTTTTGTATCAACATGGGCGAAGAGACACTTAAAAGCCGTAACGTGCCAGTGTCCAGCACCTGTGGATTTACTAAATGTGCACAAGGTGAATCCAGTTGTCTCCGCGGGGCGCTGGGCGTACACACTGACGGCAGAGTGCAGGGTGCAAGCCCGCTTCCAAGGATCTCTGTCTTCCACTTAGACAAGGCCAAAATGTCACACGTTTGTCGGTGTTTCTTACTAACTCAGTAGAAACCACAGGGGACTCTTTAAACTCTCTCAAGTTTAAAGCACTATTTTAAAAACTAAACTCAAGCAGATCTCGTCAAACGCTCAGGGGTGAGACTTCTCCCGTTGATTTATGTACCATCACAGCAGCTGTAAGTCGAGAGCTGTTGTTGCACCGCTCCAAATGTCTCTCTAACGGTGCCACAGGAGCCGAGCTTCATTGCAGCACTCTCAGTTTCAGCTGAATTCAAACTGTGATGATTTAATAAGCTATTCACTGAGAACGAGAAAACATCAGTACGAAAGACATGATTATCACACCATCACCCTGCTAAAACTCAAAAATAATGACGGATTTCAACCCATTTATCACTTAACATTCTGGAGCTTTGGCATTTCGAAGAGGCATCAGAGTTTCTTTCCTAATACACAGAAACAGAACTGTCCTAATTTTGCATTTTAGAGCATGAGACCCTTTAAATCCTTAAAGAAAATAAAAGCACAGATTGCAGATTACTAACGCCTCAGATCTTACACAATTTAAACTAGGTCAAGAAGGAGCTGTTCTATGAATCATATTTTCAGTTTCTGGCAGTGCTCTTAGCCTACAAAAGAAGGGTTACACATTAAAATTCTCACATTCTCACTGCCAGTTTCTTGGTATTATCGTATCCGAGATGCACCATTGTAAAATCATGCAGTTAGGAATTCCCTGTTTTCATAGCTTTATCTTCCTCGGCAAACAAATGAGAAAACCAAAGAATTGCATAACAGCATTGTATAGGTGCTTCCTAATTTTCAGGCTGATTTTAGCAGTGATTGTGTCTCATGCATGAAAGCATTGTCTTTAGAGATGCCACACGCTATGTTGTGCAGAAACACAGGATCCCATTGAAAGCAAAATCTCTTTCCAAACTTTGTTCTGCCAGATGCAGCCTCCCCTAGCACTGGATTCCAGCTTTGGTTTTCTTCATAGCAATTTCTGGCTTTTGAAAATCTCCTTACTCAACAATTTGTGCTTGTGAGGAAAATATAGAAACCACACGGTATTTTTTCACTTGTGCTTTTTTTACATCTCAGCCCTGTTTTTATCTATATCCATATACTTTGAAACGTGGCTAACCTGTAATTATGGAATAGAATCATATCACACGATCCAGTATAATAAATTAGTTGTTGATTTTTTGGCCAGCTTGAGAAATGAAGAATAAAAACCACCAACTTGGTAAAAATAAATTAGCTAAGTAAACATTGTCCAAAAACATATTTGAACCAACGACAATGATGTTAATTTAATGGTAAACACATATATATGCATGTGTAAATACACACACACCTCTCTCTGTTGAATGTACTACTGTCATTTATGGGATTCTCTTCCTAATCGCTTAATTGAATGCAACTGCTGGTCTTATCTTACCCCAACACTGTAATTTTCAAACTTAAACACTGAAAGCAAGAATAGATCTTTTATGTTAAAGCCATGTAGGAGAAGCTACCCATGAAAAATATCAGCGTGGTGTTATTGGAATGTAAAGACTTCAATGAAAGCTTAGGTAAAACTCAGCAAGTCTCTGGGGATACTTCCAGGAATGACTGATCCTTTGCTGGAGGAGACTCCAAAATCAGATTCAGTTACCTAACTAAAGTGCTTTTTCAACTAATTATGCACTGGTGTCATGCTCATGGTGATGTTCAGGTTTATGCAAAATACAGCATGCCAATCTTGCTCCCAGTGAAGTCACTGGCAAACCTTGCTTCGATTTTAACGAGTTCTGGATCTGACTTAGCTATTTAAATGTAAGTTTTAAGGTCCAGCTTCTGTTCTTGCTGAAGTCAATGGAAATTCTCTCGCTGACATCAGATGGAAGAAGCACAGGGTTTAAATTTGATTGGACTAAACTAAATTGTATGAAGATTTGAGAAAGAAGTATTCTGATTAGACTTAAGTGAGTAATCTTAGATAATGCACTGTGACAGATCTCTAAGCAGCACAATTTGAGCTAATAAAATATACAGAGAAGGAAAATATGTATTTCTTAACCTGTAAAGCCTTATCTTTGGGGAACAACATACGACAAAGACCCCACATAAGGAGAACAGAAAAGTAACCCTACAGAAGTACCTTGCTTAGAGATTTCTTTCTGTAGTCTGGTCCTTTACACTTAATGCAAATAACGTCTGATAGCTGTCACTACACGATTCTTTTGCAATGATCACCAAACCAAGCCCTGAGCCGGAGAGGCAAGTCAGAGCGATATTCCGCTGCACAAAACCTCAGATCAGGAAACCAAGTGGCAGAAAGGACGCTCGCAGCAGGAAACCCAGGTGTCTGGCTTTCCCGCGTCCAGACGGCACGGGGGCCGCAGGGGCACCCTCCCACCCTCCCTTCACCTGCCCCTTCTCTTCAGGGGCGCAGAGCCTCCACCAAGGGTCTCCCTTGGATTTCCCAGGAAAAGACTGTCCAGGGATGGAGGAGCCTCCCCCGGGCTCTGCTCCTTGTCGTAAACAGAAATCATTTTGGCTTTTTTTTTTTCACAGCACAGTCGTCTTTGTTGTCTCATAGGGTCTCTTAAGCCAGAACCTTTTCTTCTGAAACTGTTCCAAGAACTGTGGGGTTGAAAGACGCCTTTCCGAAAGGGAGCCGCAAAGATGCAGCCTGCGCCGCTCCGCGGGTCCGCCCGCCCCCAGCCGGGCTCGGCGGCACCCCCT